TCCTCACAGATTCGATGAAAGGTAATTTATGCACTCAAATATTAGAGCATAGTGCAGTAATAGTAAATAGTACACACGTGCATGTTACCCATGACAATGAATAAACTTTGGAGATCCCCAACTTCCCTGCTAGCACCATTTATGGTTGACATTTATGATTTTTAAGCATCATGACAGCAAAATAAAAGCCCTCCACTACAAGTAAAAAGCATAAAAACATGCAATTAAAAAAAAAAAAATAAATCCTATTTAAGAAAAAGCACAGAAGTATTAGCAGCAAAATGTGCTTAAAGCATTCAAGTAAAACTACCATTTGGATCTTCTGACTCACGGCTTATTATACTGTATGTGACATCATTAGATTATTAGTTGTAGCTGCTGCAGGTGGAGCGACTTTGAACTACTTTACATCCAGTTTTATACAAAGAGTCAGCAGGTGAATCTGGCAGGTTTTCAGATGATTAACAGGAGAGCTGTTTCAGCTTTTGGACTTTTTCTCTCATCTTTGATTTTTATTGAGATATTGGATCGATCCAACATTTACTGAAATGAAGAGATGTTTAGAGGGTAAAATCACCTTTTGGTGGAGCTGTTGACAGTTTATCTGAAACATGAGCCCCACTACATATTGCTTTTTGTAAGACAACAGAAGTCAAGTAAGTAGGAAACAACTGGCTTAGCATTTAACAACGCTAATCACTATAATTCCAAACAGCTAAAAATCTAGATCCTAAAAGCAACTAAAGCTGTCAGATAGTGGCAGCCAAAGTAGATTATTTTCTCTCTGAAATGTAGCGGAGGGGAAGTAGCATACAACGGAAATACTCCAGTACAAGTACCTCACAGTTGGACTTATGTACAGTACTTGAATAAACGAGGAGTTCATTTGCAAAAACAGATAACTCCATCTACACAAAGCTTCAGAAAATCCACTTTTCCATCGTCTACCCGAGACAACATCAATCAAACTTTTAAGTTATCTCTATTTTTGTCATTTCTACTGAGTCAAATCCACTCAACTTCAGTTTGATTGATTTTATCTCAAGCAAACAACAACAAAAAAGTTTTCTGAACATCTACAAAAATTGAGTTTTTGCAAATGAACTCTTCAAATGTAAATTAGTTAATGACAAATAAGTAACCCCCCAAAACTATGACTAAATATGCCCATAAACTGGTTGAACATCACCATGCTAGCATTGTCACTGTGACCACGCTAACATGCTGCCGTACAGTCTCACTAATTCAGTATCATGGCTGTAGCCTTGTTAAACAGTGACAAGTGAAATAAACGTTTCAGTGTGTTTTCTGATGTCCTCCACTGTGATATTTTTATAATAATTACTTAAAAGCACTGCTTCCACACAATCAGCTGATCTGCGGGAAGCTCATTCCCAAGGCCACAATAAAAAAAAAAAAAAGGGCATACATTTAATTATTCCTCTCGGGGTAAAACGAGACAAAACCTTCCCGCTGCAGTCCACTTGGCTCTCCACATTGTGCTCCCTCTTTCTCCTGACCCTCCTGTCTGGCCTTTACTCTGTCTCATGCTCTGTCAACATCATCTGCCACCGCGGAGCAGACGGACTCAAAAGCAGACCTTTTTACTTTCCTGCAGGTGGCTGATGTGACTGAGGCAAGAGGCAGCAACAATCCCTCTTCACTCGCTTCCCTCCACCACCACCAGCACCACCTTGTTTCCTGTATAACACAAACTCCCTCTCCCTGCCAAGACCGCATTCTTGTGAATCAAAGGAAGGAAAAAAAATAATTCTGGCTAAGCTGCTCAGAGGATCACTAAGGCATCTTGGTAACACTTTTAACAATTCTCGGTAGCATTTCTAGGCAGCGTAGTAATAAATGGTTCATTGTCACTTTCTGCTATTGTGAATCCTGGTGTGGTTGCATTTTTTAAAATGCTCGACATGCACCTTAAAGCTTACAAGCAGATGTAGTAGCTTTTAAAGCTCACAAAACCAGCAAGACTTACTCAGCTTTGCCTTTTGTTTGTGGTAGCAAATGCTTGATAAAGACTTGCATCTGTGAACAGTTAAGACATGTTTTTTATGAGAGATCTGTGTGTGTGTGCAATCACATACATTTGGGTATGATTATTCAGATTCAGGTTCAGATTTGTTTATTTGTCATATGCAGGTTAATACACAGTCGACTATGCAAGTAGATGTTTTGGACAAGAAGAACGTATTAACTTACTGTCGCAACACAAGAAAAACTACAACGAGAGAAACAGTAAATGCAAAATATTGCCAAAAGTATAAAAAAAAATAGGAAAAACATAGATATTAGGGAAGAATATATAGACATTAACACACTGAGTTTGTCTATATACTTGTGCAGGGTCCAGAGCTTCAAAAAAAAGAAGGGAATGTAAACACTTGCAGATTATTGATTACATATATATATATATGTACAATTAAATTTCCCTTCTGGGATAAATAAAGTATTTTTCATTACAGCTATGATAGAACATGCAATCATCCATTAACAGTTTGCACAAGTTATGAGTCCTGACAAATACATTCATAAGCACAAAGAAACGTCCCTATGCCTTTAAACTGTGTTTATAACGTTTTTAATGTTGTTATTTATGTACTCCTGCATTGCTTAAAAATACTAAATAGGAGTGCTGACGTTAACTATGTTGTTAACTTCAACTAATTTTAACTTGATGATTGGTAAATGAGATTTTTTTTAATATCAAAAGAAAACAAAAGTCAAGTTTTGTTAGTTTGAAAATACATTTTTTGGGTAAAGTTTTAAAGGGTTCATTTAAGTGCATTAAGTCTTTCCCAGTGGTGGAAAGTAACTAATTACTCAAGAAACACTTGTACTTTTAAGTTCATACTACTTTATGTATTTACTCACTGCATAAATTTCACAGCTATAATTAGCACTTAATTACAAGATCAGCATTTTACATTAAAAAACAACAACAAAAGAGTAGTTTATAAAATATGATGCATCAATATTAAATATACTACTTCAAGTATATAAAGTGGTTAAACCAGTGACATAATTTGAGTGTTATTTAAGTTGATGCATCAGTAACAATGAATAAGCAAAGTAATGCATTATTCATTGGGGCCAGTCTGAATACATGCCTTCACTTTTGATTCTTAAACTGCATTTTTGTTGCTAATTCTTCTCTATTTTTATTGCTGTTAAATTTAGAAAGCAGGGCTTCAACTTCCAATGAATTATTTTGAATAGTGTCGTGCTTCTGTTTTACCTTCTTCTTCCACCACTTGTCTTTCAAATTTTTTTCAAAAATAGAACATAATAGGATATAAACTGCAGTACCAAAAATGTTGGTTTAAAAAAGTTAAATAACAAAATGTAAAATATCGAGTTCAAGTATTTTTTTTTTTTGGCCTCACATAAACATCTTGCTAGTTAAAAGAAGGAGGGGGGGAAAAAAATCACAGCTCTTGTGTCTGCAGCCAGGCAAATTAAATGAGCAGTTTTTTAATTTCTGAGCTCCTTGCTGTGTGGGAACATTCAGCAATGGCTCAGCATGTCAAACCATGTCAAGTGTTACAGTTCCCTTCCTGTTTTGGGGGGAAAAAATATCACCCCAGAGATGAATTAAACTAAAAAGGCTTGTCTTCAGACCCCTTCCTAAAATGATTAACCCTTCTAAAGAGCATTATTGAGTTCTGAGTGGTTGTGCCTTCTCTTTGCCTGTAATTGTTCTTTTTCTGTTGTTGCCTTCATCAGTCTCTCTCCTCATTATATGAAAAGAAGAGAAAAATGTCTGAATAGAGGAGGGAGATTTTCCCACAGTCACTCAACACAGAAAAATACGCCATTGTAGCCAGGTTCCCATCCCAATGCCCTGCTGCACAGTCCACCGTGGTCAGAGGGACAATGTTCTTATAATTGAGTGACCGTTCTTTCTCCTGCTCGAGAAGCAAGAGATGGAGAATATAGTTAAATGCAGCTATAACTCTCACATTTGAGTGAGTCCAGTCAGCGGGTAGCTATGTCCAAGAGTTTCTAGTTTGACTGCATAAAGCAGAGTGAAAATCCAGAACAACAGCTCAATATAATTACTTATTATGCAGCTGACCATATGCTTTTTCTTTCTTCTCCTAATGATAGTAACACTACTCGCAAGATTCTACATTTATTCTACAACTGTAAGGCAATGACAATCCAATATATTTACACAATGAAATTCATATAGAGAGCAGTTTCAGTGTGCTTATATATAATTTAAAATTGTAAAAATAAGCTTAAGGGGCGCTGTATATATAGGCTGTATAAATTAGCTTTTTTTTTTAAAAAAATGAGAAACGTGGGCAGCTTTTGTCACTATGAAATGTACCATTTTACTTAGAAAAAGCACTGTTTTTTGGGATTACGGCAGCGTAAAAAAACCAAAACATTTCAGTTACAGCATTTTTTATTTTTCTGCTTCCAACATGTAAAACCTTGTGTTTTGTTTTGGGTGTTTTTTTTTGCTTTTGAAAACGTAACCAGCAGTAATTTGATAAAAGAAAAATTAATCTTTTTTGTTTCCATGTTGGCTTTTGAGTCCATAAAAAAATCATCTAACAAGCTTATTTAATGGTATCTGATCATAGTCAGAGGTTATTCAAAGTACTTTACAGGCAAAGGTAAATAAAATGAAACTTAAAAAGCAACATTTTAATATTTAGTGCTTTAAGTAGCATGTTTTTTTTTGTTTGTTTGTTTTATTTATTTTTTTGCTTCTGATGGTGTGGAAACCAGTGGGGTTTTGTTTTATTTGCTTTTGATGACGTTGTTTTTTGTTGTACTGGTGTAAAAGTGGCGTTTTGGGGCTTTTGACAGCATACAAAAATTTTTTTTAAAAATTAAATAAGAATGTTAATGGCGTACAAACAGCGGGGATTTATGGCACTTCTGGCTTTCCATACCGTCCACGTCCTGCGCGCACACACAGCCGCAGTTGCACAACCAATCAGCGCGCAGCATTCTGGGGCCGTTCAACAGCGATGGCGGAGACAATGAAGCCAAGTGGAAACCACGCTCCTCCCAATGAATGCAGCAAAATGTCCAGCTACAGGGGCTGCATGGAAGTGATACTGAAGCTGCTAGCAGACTTCGAGAAAGAGGTTTGTCGGATTTGTTTAAGCTGCGCGACTCAGACCCCGTCGGTCCTTTCAGCCCGGGTTGTTAGCGAGCTACATGCTAATGTTTTTAGCAACCTGCTGCATTAGCCGGCACCCACCGTCCATTCAGTGACACAGTAACTACATATTTCGGAGATGTTTTTGACAAGCAAAGCAGCTGTGCTTGGGTTTCTGAAAACTTTAAATGATTTGATCTTATTTGTGACAAGCTTGCAGCTCCGTATCTGTCCAAACTCTGCGAGACAAGACCCACATCAGTTAAAGCAAAATTCCAATTGTATTTCAGCTGCATCGCCATTAGCACCCTGCACATAGCTCATTCTCTGGCTCATATTCTTGCAACCTGGATATAATGCAACTATGTAGTACATTTTCACACAGTAAGGCTGTTTACTTGTATAATTCAGTAAACACAGTCGGTGATGTCTGGTCCTGCCTTTTGTGTGGAAAAGTAGGAATAAAATGCACAGTGGATGAAAAACACGATGAGTAGTCTTGAAGTTTTAGAACTTATAAATCTTCCTCCACTTGCTTTATCTTCCTAATGTATGTGAATTATTATCTGTAAGCATTAGCAGTGGAATCATGGGCATCAACTGTTTTAGATGAAGGTTTTTAAGTAGATATTATCAGTTAATCTGCGATTATCAGTTATTTTTCCAAAATAATAAATAAAAAATTGTATCAGTTGTGAAAATAGTAAAGCTCCCAGAGGCCACGATCATATCTTTAAAATGCCTGATTCGTCTGAACAGCAATGCAAGCCCAAAGATATTCAATATACAACAACATAAAACAGTGAAAAGCAGAATATACTTGCTACTGAATACTACACTTTAAAGAAGCAGATCCCAGCAAATTGCTTGTATATTTCGAGAAAATGACAAAGCCTTTAACCGTAATAGACAATCAACATGGTAAGTCTATTTTCAAGTCACAGACTAATCAGCTAAGCAAGTTGCTTTTATTTTACTAATGCATACATTGTCTTGTTGCTGTGCAGTTTTAGATTGACTGCTGTATCTGTTCCGTGCAGTGAGGTCTAACACTATTTGTGTTTTGAAATAAAGCTCAAATTAGGTGATGCTGCTTTGAGAATAGAAATCAACCCCAGTGCTGTGAATCTTCAATCATCTCCAGCTGCTCGTGTTTACAGCTCTTTGCTGGAGCACATCACTAAATTACAGGTAAAGAGGTTATTTCAGTTTATATCTTTCTGATCTTGGTAAACTGGATAATAATTTTGGTTTAAAATTTTTTAAATAATTTGTAATAAAGTTATTTAATAATAATGTTTAAATTAATGCCATTGTTATTTGAGATAGAGAAAAAGCATGTTAAAATGTATCTGAACAGGATTTGTTTGCTAATAAGGGTTTTTAATTTATAGATATCTTTTTTCCTTTTTGCTCCTATTATTTGAATAGGCTGTTTCAGAAAATCTAAAGACAGTGGTGGATAATGATGACGCCGATGCGTTATCTATAAAGGACAGCGCGTCAGATGACGCCGTCACCTCGTCCTCGGTGAAAGAGCAGACACCTGCGCCGTCTGAGCAGCATCCCCTCATCTCAGAGGCTGCGGAGAGCAAGACGGCGGCTGATGACGTCATGGTTCAGATCCGAGCCGGGAAGTCAGAGGTTGGTCTCCGTCAGCAGATCTGTCAGCTGTTCTGGCAGTGACATTTCAGAGCCCTCTTTACACTCTGTCAAGCAAATGAATAATCATAAGTAATTGCTCCCGAGGATGTGCACATGACGTGCAGCAGTGAAGCAAATGCTTGATGGAGACCTGATAAGCCGAGTTCGACAGAGAATAAGGGGTCCTTTAGTGCTGTGGTGGGGTAGAACAGACCACATTGCTGGAGGGTTTTGAGAGAGGGCCAGGTCCTTGATGGATTATGAAGTGGATGCTCATTACTCTGAGATTGCATGTGGATGAAGGACAAGAGGCCCCATTCTGTTGTGCATTTATTTTGGTAGCCAAGCAAACAGTATTCATATTCCATCATGTGATGATGGCAAGCAATTCAACTTTTTTGGCTACCTGGAATAATTTCCTACTGCATTTCTCGTTCCCTGTAATGTAACTGCTGCACGCTTTTATGCCGCGGACCATTAACATTAAAAAGGCGAAAAACATTGCATTCTTGACACCTATCAATAGCTCATCAATCCATTGTGTCTCATTATCTGTGTTGTGTCTTCATTGTAACCCTAGATTGAGCGAAGAATATCTGCATTTATGGAGCGCAAGCAGATGGAGATCAATGAAAACAATGTGCGCGAGTTTTGCAACGTGATCGACTGCAATCAGGGTGAGAATGGGAGAGAGGTTGGGGGCAGGGTGGAGAGGGAGCCTGCACACAGATTGCCAATGTTTGGGAGAGAGCTGATTTCCACAGGCGAGAGGTCAGGCTGAACTGCTCCAAGAGTGGGACTGAAGTAGCTAACACACTCGGCCTCAAAACACAACCCGCTTAGTCCAGAAAAACACGAGACAGAGGACCTTTTTTAAATTCAAAGCCTGTGTGAGACACCAGTAATAGAAATCAGGAGGAGCGATAATTAAAGTGTGATATATACATTTTCTCTTAATCACATTTAATTACATTTGGAAATTCTAATTGCAATTTATGTCACATTTTATCTTCTGCAGAAAACAGCTGCGCCCGAACAGATGCAGTTTTCACTCCTTACCCAGGTTTTAAAAGCCACGTAAAAGGTAAGAAAATGTGACATTTCTTAACGGCTTTATTTAACCACCATTTTTGTAATTAAATGCTCTGATGCAGTCACAGACCAATAATCCTTAATAAAGCATGACTTTTCCAGAAATGTTGATTAGTAATTTCTGGCTTAATTAATACAATTCAACTCCATTGAAACTCTTACATTTCTCATCGGGAAAATCTTTTTTTTTTAATTTTTTTTTCAGCTTTCACAAAACGGAAGTGCTACGCAAAGCTCAAGCAGCAATTGTCACAGCATTATTAGAAATATGAAGAGTCTTGTAGGACCTTCTGTTCATATGCATGCTGTGTAAATGGCCTATTACCCTGTTTGAGATATTGTTAACTAGTTTCTGGTTAACTGCTTCTGTTTATGCTCCTTGTCTCGCCAGTCACGCGGGTGGTTAATACATACGGGCCTCAGACTCGTGGTGGGGGAGGTCAAGGAGAACCTGGGGAGCAGCAGAGGGGGCCGATGGCAAGAGACTGTGGAAATGCGGCTATAGAAGAGCGACTTCACAACATCGAGACTCACCTAAGGCTCCCGACAGGTGAGAGAAGGCAAAAAAAAAAAAAAGACAGTTATAGTACTGCTAGTGAAATTATTGTCTTTTATGCATGTAGTGTTATATATGAGCACTTTACTGTTATACAGGATAGAATCTGTAACATTCTAAAACGTGCATATGATGGTATTGTGTTGGTAGTGAGGTTTTTTTTTGTTAGCCTTTTATGAAAGATAAATAGCCAACCTTTAAAAACAAGCCTGTGGTTAGTTTTGTCCTGATTTGATGCATAAAATCAGCTACTTCTTATTACCATGCTTCTTTTTAGACTCAGACACATCTTATTTACAACTCCCTAAATGTGAATTTGTCGTGTACAATTATGACTATTTAGACTTTTTTAAATAATTTGTTTTTTTTGTTCCTCAGTGGGTCCAGTTCCACTGAATGTCTACCAGAGACTGAAGAAGCTGGAGGATCGTATCCTGGAGTTGGAGGGACTCTCACCCGAGTACTTTCAGTCCTCGGTGAGTCCTCTGGCTTTAAATCCTAAAGTATTTCTTGGCATTACTACGCCAGTCCCACAGGAATGGCTTTAAGAGCTTTAAGGAATTAAATATAGGTTATAAGTCATTTCTGACTCTTGAAACAGTATTGTACAATTTCTGTGTTTTCCTGTTGAGCTAGTTATGAGTTTATGAAAGAGGAATATCTCCAGTGTAGCAGATATGACTGTATGGAATACCATTATACAACATATCACATGGTGACACATTGGGACACGCTTTATTATGATTAACAAATTTGGTTATTTCAGGGCCAGAAGTGGTAGAATTTAGAGTTTAGAAGAGCATAAACTTCAACACAAAACTTAACAGAAATGCTTTTGTTCATTTATATTTTACATATTTGTCACTGAGTGTTGATAGGTTATTGTTTGTAGCCAATCAAAATGTGCTGTAGACACAAAATTGCTCGAGTCTCTACAGTGGTAACCACAAATCAGAATCAAATTAAAGCATTTCATTTTTTTTTTATCTGGGACCAACAGAAGATACAAAAGTGTCCCTATTCTGTATGTTTTCCATCTCTTATATTTGTGCTAGGTTATGCCAGCTTCTCTGCTAGGGCTGAACAATTTGGGGTAAATGCCTCATTGCGATTTTTGCAGTCGCACATGAGATACCATAGAAAACAGAAAGAGGGCAGCATGAATTTGTAAGATCACAGCCACTGCATTCTAAACCTTGGATCATTGCTTAACACATCCTGAATTACAGCCTTAGTAATTTGCTACTTTTATTATTTTAAATTGCGATTCTGATTTGAAATGAATTAATTGTTCAGCCTTAGTCTCTGCTATTACAAAGTGACAACCATATTCCTCCCTTGATGCTAATTATTAGCAGATGCTACATTTCACTGAAGAAGTTCAACCAAAAGAAACTTCCCTGAACTCATGAAGGCTCCTCCCTGTTCTGCCACGTAATCCTCATGGCCTGCTCTGATTGGGCAGTTACTTTTTTTAACAGCCACTTTACCACCAAAGCGATGCGTTTCAACAATAAATGTTATAGAATCGAGAATAAATGTAACGATCAGCTTTCTCCTTCATTTTTTAAGTACTTTTGTGTAGTTGAGTTGGAAGTGTAATCTTTGAATCCCCAGTAGAATCACAACTAGTTTTCTCGACCTAGCTAGTTTGCCCTGCTTAGCGGCTTTAGACACTATTTCAGACGTGGATTTACACTGTCCAGGTGATTAGCTGTCCATAAGTATTTTTACTTTATCCATTTAATGCACTGTTACTTTTAAAAAACTGCGACATAGAATATTGGTTTCAATCTCTTCCAAAACTAAGTCTAGTCGCGGAGAGGAGTTTGTGGGTGATGCTAATGGAGTTTTCTCTGTTATGCCTCGATGCTTAAGTTACACTTATTTCCATCAAATATGGCTATTGGTTAGATTTACTTTAACATGTGGGTCATGGCAGACGGTTCATTTGAGAAATGATGACTTTCAGCTGCTTCTTAAGCTCAAAGGATGGCAGTAGGTAATTTATTGGACTTCATTTTCAACCTGTCAGACATCGGCAGAGTCACACAGACTCAAATTTCCCATGCTGAAGGAGTCTGTCCAGCGTGTTAGTTATCTAAGTGTGCTTGAGATGCTGCATGTCTCTTCATACTGGTATTTCTCAGCACAGCATGCTGCTTCTGTGAGTATGCTGCTCTCCATCTGCTTTTGACTCACTGCATGTTTGTGTGAGCAGAGCAAGAGATGTTGAGTGTCTTTGAATAAACTGATGAGGATGGGGTCTTTTATATTCGGAGTCCCCCACTCCCCTCCTTCCTCCCTTTTTTTCCCCTGTAGTTTGGTATTTGCTAAAAAGCTGCACACAGTTGGCCCACGAGTTCAGCAGCAACCTTTTAATACTGAACAGTAAAAGGAGCTTCCTTCACAAATTATTCAGCAACTTAAAACATATTGCTTCGAGCAGTTTTAACCACATAACAGCCAAGGACTTCTGCTCCTTCCCCATGTTTACCGTCTCTAAATATTGTCAAAAGATCCAATAAAAGGCAAAATTCAATTAAAACTATTTCGAAATGGAAACATGTTTTATCTGATTAATCTTCTGTGCTCTACATTCTGCTTCTATAAATAGACTTATTTTCATTTCACTAAGTGGACATTAGGAAATCACAAGCCTAAGTTTTTTTTTAGTTTGTAAAACATCCTTCTGTTGCGTCGTGTCTTTGTCGCCGAGTAAATTCTTTTTCAGGACCTTGAAAGACATTTAAAAGCAAAGTAAGAAGGGGAACAGACAAGTGCCTCAGTCTGCGTCTCAGAGCTCAAACTGGTTCGACTAATTAAGGTCTAACGTGTGCTTTACTTGTGCGCTTGTTTCCTAGAGCCACCAGCTCAAGCGACTAAAGACGTCCCCGGCTCAGGTCTGGAGTTTTGTTCGTTTCTTTTGACGATATTTTGTGAAAGGAGGTTAACCTGTTTTGAGTGATTGATCAATTTTTTTTTTCCTACTTTGTCCTTCAGGCCTGCAGTCTGACGGAGCTGGATGAGAAGATCAGTGCAGTGAAAGCGGCACTGCTGAAGAGGGTGACTGAATATGGGCCTGGATATGGAACCGACTGTCCACTGTGATACAAGCAGAGGCACAAACCGATGCTCCAAACATATATATATATATATGTATATATATATGTATATATATATACCAGCTGGTTTTGTTTTTTTTCATTCCGACTATTCTTACTATATTTGTCATTAAAAACACAAACTTTTCATAAGATCGTCATTTGATGATGTTGTGACACCTTTTGATATTAAAATGTATGTAAAAAAAAAATGTTTTCTCTATGTAGTTTTCTAGTTAAATGAAATATCGTTGTTCTATAAATAAAAGTAATTTTTCCTTCATGAAAACTTGCATTCATAAATTATTCATGACTTTTAATATATTAAATCACAAATGTCATGTGTAACCAGTTACTGAAACTAATGCTGCAACTCATTTTCATTATCGATTAATCAGATTTTTTTTTTCTCTATTAGTCATTTGGTCAATAAAACAACAATAAATGTGTTATTCTGACCAACAGTGTAAAGCCCATCAAATACACTATCATACCATTGAATTTTAACATTTGAAACACTATAATCAGTGATTTTTTTTTTTGCTTTAATTATAGTTCAATAAATGAACTGTTGCATAGATAATACAACACACTGAGCTAAACCTTTAGGTAATACAGGAAATAGACATTAAAATGAATTAATATTGAGTCTTTAACATTTTCATTTTTAGTGCCTAATGATGTGAAGGTGTGTGCGTTTGTCAGTGTGCCTGTGTGTAATTGAGATGAATCAGAGAGAGAGAGAGCGAGCACCTGATTTATCTGCCTGACTGCTGTGTGACGATGATAACCCCTAATGGTTGTCATTATAACAAATGACCTGATTACTGCAACTCTGTTTGGAAAACATATTGGAGACCCAACAAACCAGCATTAAATGGGACGCCGCTGCGTTTGACACTGTGACATGTTCATAAAAGGCTTTTTTTTTTTTTTTTTTGTGGCGTAGCGCTTTAACTGAGCAAGTGGTTGAAGCAATAATTGTGGGGGTAAATCTGGAGGACTGTTGCGTCATCTTGAACCAGTTGTGTTTGACGGAGTTTTGTATTCATGATCCGATTTCAGTGGTGGAGGGAGGATTTAAATCCCTAAGTAACAATACCAATAAAAGGTTTTTTAATTACTGCACAAAAAGAAGTCCTGCATTTAATTTCATACATCAGCACAATGTATTAAAAAAAGAAAAAGTAATCCAAAAGTACTACAGAGAAACACCCCCTGTGAGTACTGTTATATTATTAGATTAATCATACTGAATACAATCGTAATTGGTGAAGATGGAACTAATTTCAACTACTTTATACACAATTAGGCAGTTCAATGGTTCTCAACATAGAGACTGGGTCCCTCCAAGAGGTCACACAGAAAATCTAAGGGACTATAAAATGATTATGGAGGTAGGAAAAAACAACATCATTTTACTTTTTCTTTCTTACAATGGAAGTGAAACCATGAGAGACAGTTAGAAGGGAAATTTCTCTTTGAAGTTCTGACAATTTATCCAAAACGTGATTCCAACTAGACACTAGTTTTCTGCCTGATGCCAAGTTGAGAATTTAACAAGAAACTATATTTTGTCACATGTTTATATGCGAGATTTTACCAGCATGACTTTAAACGAATCGTTTTAAACTCAGGTACAGATGATCTGAAGGCTATTTTATTTTACTCGGTTGTGTTTTTGTGTTTACGCACTTTGACACAGTATTTTTGTGTATTTTAATGGTCCCAAGAAGTATATGAAATAAATATGAACTAGTAACATAGCTGTTCAATAAATGTAGAGGAGTACAAGATACAATGGCTTCCTTTAAAATGTACAGAAGTACAAGTTTGAAGTAGCATAGAAGGGAATGACTCAAATAAAGTACAAGGGCTTCAAAATTGTACTTGAGTACATGTACCTGATTACCATGTCTAAGGCTGTCTGGGCCAAGTTTGAAAGAGAGGAAAAGCAATAACTTCCTCAATGACATATCCACCTCTTTCAAAACATGAAACTCATAAAGTGATTAATTGCAATAAAAAAAAAAAAAAGGTTGTTTTGAAGCACGTACCTTGACCAGTTCACGGCTGACGAACTGAAAGCAGACACAGACTGTCTTTTAGAGCCACTGGATGGAAGTTCAACATGTTTTAAAACTCAAGTGATTCAATGATTCTTCTCACTGAATAAAAACGGCAATAATAAATGTCATGTTCAAATTAATTTTCCTGCAAACTGACAAGTACAGAAAAACGCAACTTTCTCACGTCTTTGGGGAATGACTGTAACTCCCTTCCTTTTCTTTGCTGTCGCTCTTTGTGCGTCTTGTCAAGATTTATTTCAGAGTTGATTGATGGAGTGACCTGAATACAACGGAAGACGTTGCATTGTGTTTTCTCGGAAGATATTTCATTCTTAACGTGGAAACGGGGAGATTTCTTTTCACCCCCGTCTTTCAGGTGTACCCGGCTTGTTGGGGTCTGTCCATCTCTTGCTCATAGACTGGAACTTTGTGGGCAACAAGGGGGCCACAATGTGCTGGGAAGGGGAGCACTTGAGCTGTGGCGATGTGGATGTGGGGAGGGTGGGGTATTCTCATTGTTCCCCGGGAGCTTTTGTCTCAGACACAGTCCCCTTATGAGGGTTAATGAGGACAAATTGGTCTGAGTGTAACAAATGGATTATGGAGCTGGACAAAAGCTTGTATTTTGTGGGCTGCTTTTGCTGGGATCCACCCATCATCTGCCCATTAAGCCTAACGCACTGCCTGGCGTCTCCATGAAGTGGCTTACTAAATATCTCATTATCTTTATCCTGTCTGTTTTATTACATTTGCACATTATTCACGCAGCTTTCCACAGAGAACGTAACTAAAATGCAGAGCTTATATCACAGTAATGCAGTTTGTAATCCGTGCAGTTACCTGGCTTCTTTCCTACTGCTCATGCCAAGAATTTAAAGTCAACATGTCAACATTAGTGTCAGTGGTTGGTGCTCTAAGGTTGGGTGAGCATAGTGTACCCTTTTAAATTAACAAAGAGCCACTTCCTTATTGACTCTATGTAATTCCTGCCTGTCAATCAGTCCTTCCTCTGCCCGATGTCTTGAAATGTCCTTGGGAACCTCAGTAAAAAGACACAGAGGTGTTCCTTGTCTTCTGTGGGTCCAGTATTTTTGTGGGGTCGAAGGAGAGGATTCATATCCATTCATATCTCACAAACTCTTAATGGGCTCCAAGCCCTCCAAAAAGAAAGCTCTTTCCTGTGACTAGTCAGCTCCAGTCTTTATTCATCTGTGGCTCCGTGTCAAAAAAGACTGTTGCTCGTTTGTGCCCCGAACAATGAGGAACAAGGCTGAATCTCTAGCTGGGAACAAAAGACAGAAAACAGGCTTTTCACTCTGCAGAACATTAGATTCTGACACATTTTGCCATGGCAGTTTTTTCCCCATCCTGAGTGCTGTGGCTCTGGTCTTTTAAAGAGACCACCTGTTGGCAACAAGCCTGTTCTTCATTACAGACAGGCCTATTATCACAGGATGAGGAGCACCACAGGCTAACTTTTTTAAGTTAACCCTGCTGCAGTTTCCAAAGCTGGGCGATTGGGAAACATAAATTACGTATTACCACTGGAAAATCTATTTCTGCTCATAATTTTGGATGTTGTGTTTGAATAAAGGCTTTTGTCGGGGTAAGAGGGAAGTACTTCATTCATGCCCTTGTCAGTCACAAATGTCAAAAACAAAAGGGGCTCAAATGTAGCCAGCGTGAATGTTCTATAACTAGAGGTTTGGAGCCACAGTCATATGCATTGTTAGGAGGAAAAAACAAATGTACTTACTGTAAATTTGTTGATGCTTTTCAAGCTATTTCTGAAGTGTTTTTGTTCTTCTTTTGAAAGCAGATTTGAGCAATTTTCAACACCCAAAACATTAGCATAACTACAGAAAGCAGCATCAGAACTGTGTGTAAAACAAAAAAAAAAATATTGTGGGTGGGAATATGAAGCAATCAAGTGTATACTTTGGTTTGAATTGGACATGATAAACACCGGCAGACAGCAACCAGGAGTGCTATTTTTCTACGTAGATTGTGTGAAGATTTTAAAGATAATGGCAAATAATTTATGGTTTTCATAGCTCTGAAAACACCACTGGAATTTAAAGAGAAGTTAACATGCTCATAAACAATTTGCTGTTATGTTTGTATGAGCACAGTATTTGCAGGTGCTGCAGAGGTTTGGGGGATTTAATTCACCATAATGCAACCTTATAAACACCAAATACCTCTGTCGTGCTCATGCCATCACTGTCGGAGTATATCCGATGCACTCGCACTTGTTTCATGTTCACAAACACCCAGATGATGGGGGTGCATGCACCTGTGACCCTCCCCCACAAAGCAGACAGCACAAGAGAGGATCCCCCTGAAGCCCACAGGCTTCAACAAGAGGCAGTCAGCTGCTCTCTGTGGCCCTGCTGCACGGTCCCCAGGCTCTCTGGAGTTAAATGTGCCTGTGATATTGCCAGGAGGGAGCAGCGGGAGTTGAATTCAGGCAATTACAATCAAGTCAGGGCATAGTTAGTGCGTGGGCCCTGGCAGCACCTGAGCTGGATGCTGATGAGACACTTAGCCCCAAACCCTCATGCATTGGCCCAGGCACTGCGTAGAGCAAGCCCTCCTCCCCCTGCCTCCCCCCCTCCCTCTCTTCCCACAGCAGCAGACCCCCTACTGGACACTTCCACTTCCCTTCACCTCATTTAGGCCTCTAGAGCTCTCTCACCCTCTCTCTCTCTGGCCCTCACATTGCAATACTTCTGCTTTATATAGGTGGCGTGGAGTACTGCACTCAATCACTCTTCATTCATTCACACTGTACAATAATAGACTACTACTCCGATATTGTCCTTCAAGCACCTGTGCATAGCAGAGCTTCAAACCTGTGATGTGAAGTTCTTGAGAAATATGTGAAGAGTTATTTCTCTTAAATGCACAAAAAAAGTACTGCAGCCAAGTGTGGATAGGACATCTTTGATCATTTCTGTTGCAGCGTAATGTGCAGAAGAAAGCACTTTTAGAAGAGACTTCCAGCCTGTCCCCATCTTTATTACACATCAAAACTATCATGAGCAGGCCCTGTCACACCACTGTATCTCTGCATGGATATTCATTTGCAGGTGGCTGAGCATAGGACTGCGTGTCCCAACTGATGTGCTATGGCAACAGGAAGAGAATGGAAAGGGAGGTGCAGTTCTTGAATATCTATGACCCAAGAATATGGAGTCAGGCATCACAACAACAACAC